TGTACTTAAGAAGCAATCAGACAATGCAGAAAAAATTTCAGCACCAGTTGTATGTTTCTTCAGTTCCAAGCAGTTCAAGAATTCTTTGATTTCTTTTTCGTCCCAGTCCACATACCGAATATAAATATGTAGCAGTGCTTTATCAGTAATGTCAGTTGACTCATCTAATTGAAGAGCATAGAGCTTTGACCTTTTTATTTTTCTTATAAGTTGCTGATGAACATCATCGCTCATCATAGTCATGCGATTTGAAACTGTATCATTAGAAAGAGGTATTGTTTTTATTTTTTTAGCAGCTTTATCTCCAAAAAGTGTAAGGTTGGCATCGACCATACAAGGCATAATTAAGATTATTAATTAAGATGATCCCGAATCGAGGAGGACTCGGGCAGTTACTTTCTCATTCCGAACATCGTTTATGGTAACTATTGCTGTCGACAACATGGCTACTTCTTTTCCTTTTATATTGTCATTAGTACTTATCTGTTCTTTACAAACAACTGCAGCTTCTTCAGCAACTTCAGGACTGATCGGTAAATCATTGCTTATTTCTTGTACAAGTATCATGTTGTTGGAAAATGCTTCTTCTTGTTCCTCTTCTTCTAAGTGCAATTTACTATTGTGTCGCTTATTACACCTTTGACAACCAGCACTACGATATGTAGATGCTCTATGACCACTTCGTAAACAGTTAAGACAAACATTTGCTGCTCGAGCCGTTTTCACTTTGTTAGGAGTTCTCATTTTTAAGAACCGTGCACACTGATACAAAGCATGTGGAATTTTGCATATGTGACATTTATTAATTGTTTATTTGATAGTCATTGAGTTATCCTGAAATGTTGTAAACGACCTTCGTGACCCTTGAACTGATAAATGATTACTCGGTACCTTAGATTGACTTTTTGATACTTCAACAGCATCAAGTGTGTGACACCGATGAGAAAGAAATTTATCAAATTCCATCCAAGTGGGTACGCTGGTGTCCTTTCTGGACACTTTACATTCCATCAACGATCTAGTATCTAATTTTGAGGCAGCAGGGAACACTAAAGGAGTGCTCCAACCATCAACTTTTTCTCCAACTGCCGTTAACGCACCTAAGTGTCTTGTAAATGTATTATAAAAGCACCGTAATTCTGTTGCTGATTCTTTTTCAAGCCGTTGAACTGCGAAGAGTTTGGATAAATGTGACTGCAATTAGACGTTTATTTTCAAAACGTTTAGTGAGTAACTCCCAAGCTACTTGGTAATTTACGTCGGTGATCTCTAAACTATTAATCAATTGTGCAGCAGACCCTGAAAGAGCTAATCGCAGATATTGGAGTTTTTGTACAGCTGCAATGTTTTTTTTATCGACCATCACAGTAAAGCTGTCTCGAAATAATTGCCAATTCTCGTAGCCCACGGAAAACTCTGGTAGACTAATACGAGGCAGCTGAAATAGTTGACTATCATTTTATTGATATATTTGAGTTGATGTTGGTACGTTTATTAGCCGATGATTTTCACTTTCCTCCGAAGCGGCAGCTTGGATAGAAAAGAAGTCGTTTTCAAACATTGTCCGTTCACTTTGCTGATCCGCGAAATCATCGAACTCTTCGATCTCCGTTTGAACTGCATCAAATTCATCATATAATGCGTTCAACTTATCACATCGAAGCTTCAACTCAGTGAAATTTCTTTTATCATTTTTTAAAAATCCATTAAAAAATGTACAAAATCGAGTTAACTTCCCTTTAATAACTCCCCATCTCCTTATTGCTTCCTTCAAATTGTCGTTCGAATTTTTTTCATTGAATGCCATTCAAATACTTTGTAATAACAATCTGATTTACTTAAATTATGTTATGATATTACACTTGGTTTAATAACCACGCTCTGCTACCAATGTTGCCTTTTGGGCCTATTACGCTTATATTTGTTATCAGACTAAAGGAGTCAATATAGGCAACCCAATGTGAGCTATCCGTATATGATGATATAGGCAACGCACGACACGACGACGATGATAGGAAGGAGATACTTAAAAATTACGGGACTAAGGAACATGAGTTTAATTATCGGGGAGGGGGGGTCTCTGTGGTCGAATCGGTTTGGTGCAATGACCACAGAGCTCACACACAAATCGGACGACCTTATAAATTAAACATTTAATCACACCTTACAAACTAACTTAAAATTACGTGATGACTAGAAGATGATGGTAACTGCAATTTAATGAAAATACTAAACATGTTTAAATATTTTATAAACACAGCAAAATATAAATTTAAAAAAAGTTCATTTGACTAGGTTTATAAAACAAGTTTTAGTCTTCAATAAGAAAATCTTGGCAATTAGTATCTTCAGTCATATTTTCTGTGATTGGGTATAGATTAAATGATATAATTTTGTCCAGCATTTCTTTGAAAGGTTGAAAACTAATACAATTTCTTTTACTTTTCTTAATACATTCACTTGTAATTACGGTTGCTGAAACCGTGCTAGTTATTAATTTATTTCTCGATTTGGTTTTTACCGAATTGATTTTACGATATTTTCTTTCACATGTTGCATTTGAATGTGGAAGGCATAGTACTGATAAGGAAAATACTGCAAGATCTTTGTATTGCTCACATTCTAAGTCTTTTATGTAAGTCCAAAATCTATCTGGTTCTTTTTCATTAATTATATTATCATTAAGTTTGTATAATGGTAAACTACACTATTGATCATCAATTGTTTGTATAATATTATTATCATCTATATTCATCATCCTTGGAAGATATTGCATGAGATTATATATTGAAAGATATATGTCTCTTTTACTTGTTGATAAAGCAACTGAAGGATTTAACGCATTTAATAATGGTAAAATTGGATTAGAAAAGTCGTATCTCTTTATGATTTTTAGACAATTTACTTTTAGAAAGTCAGTAGATCTATTGTAGAATTCATTCAGTAAATCTGGCCTCTTTGTTACTGAATCTGTTTTGACACGATTTAAAACTGTAACTCCTAGATATACAGTAGATGCTTTTAATAACTGATTTTCATCACTAGGATTTTTTTGCTTAAATCAGTTTTCATAACATAATCTCTTTTCATATAGCAAAGTAATATATCTTTGTAAACGACTTCTATTTTTTTCATTTAATGTTGTTATACTACATTCTCTGTTTGAAAAAAATGATTTAAAGACGTGCATTTTGGAAGAATCCACTATAGGAAGTAAAAATAAATCTTGGTAAAAGGATAATTTAACTGCATATAATGTTTTCTGTCGAAATTAATTTTTCAAAAAGCCATTTAAAGTCGTGCCTTTATCTACTAGTTCCAAATTTGTTTAATCAAATACTTGTAATAAATCCCAGAAACGTGAAACAATCGTTTTACATTCAAAATCCTAAAATCAAACTACAACACACGTAGTTGATTGGCACGCTATGTCTGTAAACTCATCAATCATTATTGAACATTTTGAAATATGTAATTTTTCACATAAAATTTATTTTTCAACTGGGGCTTTAACATTTTTTATGATATTAGTAGCTTTTGTACGCTTAAGTTTTATTTTTTGACAAATTAATGAGTCTGGAAATATTTCCTTCAGTAATGGAACTAAATGGTCGATGAGTAAAAACGCACAATTTTGTGCGAATAAAGCACACAGTATGATTTCTGCAGTTTTAACTTTGTCAGCAACTGGATCTGGCGTATTCAACATAAATGGGGAAAATATATTTTGTGAAACTTGAGTAGCATTTACCGCATTTGCATGGCCTTTACTCAATGCACATTTCTTTATAGAACTAGTTTCAGATATAAAACTTACTTGGCTTTAAACGCATCGTTTTTATCGGGTTTCAGCCAACCTTTGTACAATTTTTCATTCTCCCACTCATGGCGGTATTTTTGTTTCCGGTGTTTTGGTTTTTCATGTTTCGGTAGTTCATTTCAAATTAACCTCTTTATTTTCGGAATAGAAGGCCCATCAGATAAATTCTGTAATATTAAAATGTGTCATCATTTTTATATAGTTTATTCAATGTAATACAGTTAGTCGATAAGCAAAAAAATCTAACGCTAAGTATCAATGCGTAACATTAAAGAACAAATGTAAAAATAATGCGTAAAAAATAATTAACCTTTATTATAAACTAACAAACCTTTGGAGTATCCTCAATTTCAAACATAGCTACTGTTATTTTAAAAAACGTGATTTTAACTATAACCAGACACCAGCAGGCAGTATGTTGAAAAGAAGAATTGATGACGAATCCGGAATCTGTGAAACAGCGTCGAATACTCGGATTATAATTACCCATGATAAAGTTTAATGATTAGGAATTTCCAAAATTAATAATATATAAATATATAATAGTTTATAACAATTATTATATATTATAATATCACAATTCACAATTTAAGATATTATCATATTTTCATATTCCAGATTAACTTTATGATAACGTTATTTTATGACCACGATTTAAGATAGTCTTTAATCACTTTAGTAGTAGGGGAAAGGTGTACAAAGTGGCCATAGCGGGTTAAGTGGTCATGTCATATTATTCTGTCATTAATAAATAAACAGCTGATTATAGCATGTGGATTGATTCATTGTTATCATATTTATGAACTGATAAACTACTAAAGATAATAACATTTGCCGTTTTCGTTTAAAATAAAAATTTCATTTTTGATGCTGATGATGTAAGGTAAGTGTTCCGAATAAATAATTATATTTATAAACATTGTAATAAATATACCAAAATTATTTTTTTTTCCGAAATCTACATAAGTATTTATATATTATAGAATTGATTTAAGTTAATTAAGTTAATAGGATTAATATTTTTTTAAATAGTAAATTTAACATTAAGTAAAGGGCAAAGTGGTCACTATGGTAACCAGTTTACCCGCATGCCAAATATTTTTCACTTTTATTATTTATACTTAATAATTATTATTGTTATTAGTTATGCATGTGATTAATTAATTATGGTATAGTGATAATGTCATATGAAGACTTCTATGGACCTAATAATTGCTTAACCATGTAGCTAGGGGGGGGGGCAATAAATATCATAATAGAATCAGTACTATTAATATGATTAAAAACTATAAAATTAATAAAAAAATACTCAAACAAATAATTCTTAGGTACAATCAGTATGTAGTTATTGTATGTGTTAAATTATAGAAATGTTAAGATGCCTACTAACTATAAGAGAACATCAATGTAACAAAGCTGGAATGCAGTTAGTATGAAAAAAGCAAATCAAGCTGTTCAAAATTAAAATGTTAGCTACAATAAAGCTGCCAAACTCTTCAACGTCCCAAGAACTACATTAAAAAGAAGAGCTAACAATATTAATATTTATGCAACAGGTATATGTATAGTTATATTATAATAGGTAGAATATACTTTATATACAATCTAATAGAGGTATATAATTGTATTTATTCAGGTAATAAAAAAATTCTTGGCAGATTTCGGGCAGTGTTCACTAATGAACAAAAACAAGAAATTATAAATTATTTAATTGATATGGAAAAAGATTTTATGGACTAACAATAACTAATATCCAAACATTGGCTTATGAACTAGCAGAAAAAAATAATATTTCACATAACTTCAACACTACAAAAAAAATTGCTGGTAAAGACTGGGTAAAAGGATTCCGAAAGCACCACCTAGAGATAACACTTAGATCTCCAGGAGCTACATCCTCTGCTAGAGCTCAGGCATTTAACCGCCCAAATGTGATGAAATTTTTTATCATATTACAAAATGTTCAACAAATAAAAAACTTCTTACCACACCGAATTTTTAATGTTGATGAGACAGGATTAACCACTGTAAAATCAAAATGTTCAAATATTTTGGCATTAAAAGGTAGAAGACAAGTTGGTTCATTAACTTCAGTTGAGAGGGGATTATTGTCAACAATTTTAGTCTGTAAATCAGCTGGTGGACATTTTATACCACCTATGATCATTTTTCCAAGGGTGCGAATGAAAACCGAACTACAGGATAGCGCTCCTCCAGGAACTATCTTTCATTACCACCCATCTGGATGGATGCAATTAGATATTTTTACAGAATGGTTCCAACATTTTTTAAATCATGCTAAACCAACTGCAGAAGATCATGTTCTTCTTATATTAGATGGACATATGACTCACACAAGGAATGTATACTTTATTGATTTAGCAAGAAACAATTATACCACTGTTGTGTACTTACCACCATATTGCAGTCATAAGTTTCAGCCATTGGACGTCTCTTTTATGGGACCTCTAAATACTTATTATGTTCAGGCAATTGAGAAGTTTCTACGAAATAACCCAGGAAGAGTTGTAACACAATTTCAAGTGAGTAAAATTTTTGGTGAAACTTACATTAAAGCTGTGACTCCTGCAACTGCAATAAACGGTTTCAAAAAATGTGGAATTGTGCCATTAGATCCAAATATATTTGAAGATACAGATTTTATTGCTACTCAAACTACAGATATTTTCTAATAGATCCACTAATAGCTGAAATTTCAATAAATGAAAACGAAACAATTGACAAACCAAAAGATAACCAATCTAATTAATTTTACACTGTAAGTCCAATGCATGTTTGTTTATGCAATAATTATGTAACATGTGCGGACGCTCGGTATCTTACTTATCTTATTAAGATTACTATTCATATTATTATTATTATTTAAATGAGATATCGAGTTTGTTCGCGCATGTTACGTGGTAAATAATGTATTATTTTTATTTTTAATTGTCACCGAATTTCGGATTGTCGTCACCAGGCTAAATCCATCGCGCCAACGGACGCCGTTATCGGTGCACCTACCTATAAAAGGCACGGTGGCGTGATGGAAAGTCACCATTTACTGTCTCTCCGGTATTGTAGTAAGACCTTCCCAGGCAGACTTACATAACATTGGAAGACAGTATCCCCCCGACCTCGACGAACGATATATTTATGTTGGTCAGTGGTGTAATAGTCGGAGTTATTCTGGCATTGCATCGATCAGCATAACCATCAGTTTATGGGGCAATAGAGTAATTCCGGCATTGCACCGACTGAAGTATCGTTCGTTCGAGGTCTTTATTCCCGTCGACGCGACCTATTCGTTATTCGTATAAGCTCTCCGAGCACAAATATATTATTCGTGTCATTAAAGCTCTCCGAGCACAATTCTTAGGTCGCGCGCACATTGAATGCGTTTTCGTACGAATTTGATTCGTGCGAACTTGTACGTACACGCACGAACGATCCCGATCTACCAAATACTATGTGAGCGCGGAGACTTGGTGCGATTTGTTCGTATGTATACGTACGTGTAACTTTGACGTACGAAAACAATCCTAACTTGTCCGGATTTCATTAACGTTCGTACGCCGGCAATGGATAAATGAATAAATTAAATAAAATGGATAATGAAAAATTTATTAATTTAATTTACCAACACACATGTTTGTGGGATCAAAGCGATTCAATGTATCACTTACGTCGACGCGGCACACAGGTGATGGTGTGTGTGTGTGCACGGTCGCGGTGCGGTGAGCCGAAAGTTTAACAAAAAAAGAAAGAAAAACAGAAACGACCTCGGTTTGTGGTGGCACAATGTATATGTATATTTAACACACAAGTTAAATAAAAAGAAATAATAATAATAATAATGAAGAAAAACGTACACCGCACAGAGATGTCACAAATCAAAAAAAATACAATAAGGTCGGGAACGTGTGAGTAGTGTCTCGGTACACGATCTCGGAAAAACAGCCCGGTTATGTGGTGGTACCTGTCGGACGTCGTAGCGATCGCTCGCGTCCCCTGACCGGTGATGGATGGGTGGACGGGGGTCGCTGCGGCGTTGCGTGCCGCGGAGTGGTGGTTGATGAGAGAGATAAGGACACGGTCGGCGACTGCCGTTTCGGTAACGGCTGCCGCACGGGTCCGCGTCAACGTGACCTTCATCGCAAGGCATGGCGAGAGAAATATCCGAAGAAATGGAAATACCTGTTAAATACAATTTATTAAATGTATTTAATACTAAATATTAATATTAGATAATATTAATTTATTAGATTTTACTAAATACTATACAATTTATTAAAATATATTATTTATTACGTTATTATTACAAATTTTAACATTTATTTATGATAAACAGATGGAGTATATGATAATTAATTATAAAATGTGTTTTGATAAAAATAGTTTTTAAGTGTTTCCCTGACATAGCGAGCCCTCGATGCGCTTCTATTCTCTCCTGCAGTCATGAATCTATTTCTGTTTTCATTTAGTGGTCGTCGTATTTCCGTAGGTAAATCATTAATACCTTCCTTATCAATTATAATATTATGAAGTAAACATATAAACTTTATTATGACATCCGCACGGTCGGTATTTACCTCAATTGCTTTTAATAACAATCGCCACTTGCTACTCAGAATACCAAAGGTACACTCAACAACTTGCCTTGCATTTGTTAAGCGTTTGTTAAATATTTCTTCTTCTGGGCCCAAATTTTTTGGTGATAAGGGCGCATTAGATAGGTCTTTAACGGGTAAGCTTCATCACCAACTAAGAAGTGAGGTAAAGCTATGTTACTTCCAGGTAATACTTTTTCTTGGTTTGCGTTGAGAGCACCATTTTCCAATTGTTGTGAAAGATTTGAATGCGAAAATATTCCACCGTCACTCTCTTTACCATAGGCTCCCATATCTACAGCAAGAAATCTATAGTTTGCATCCACAACAGCTTGCAATACAATGGAGAAAAAGCACTTATAATTACGGAACATGCTGCCAGAATGCGCTGGTGCGTTAATCCGTATATGTTTACCATCAATGCTGCCAGAGCAATTAGGAAATCCCCATTTGGTCCAAAAATCATTAGTAATATTGTCCATATCTTCGCTTGATGGAAACTTCATATGAATAGCAGAAAGATTTTCCCAAATAGCGTTACACGTTTCATGTGTAATACAACCAATGGTATTGTCTGAAATCCTAAATAAATATGCAAGAGCTCTGAACGATGAACCTGTGGCTAAAAACCTGAAATAATAAACATTTTAGATTCGGAGTGAAACGAAGAATGGAGTCCATTTCTTTAGCCCACCAAATTAGAATTTTCTAATTCTTTCCCAGCCAATCGCTTGTGCACCAATACTCACCGAGTTATCGCCAAATCAAATTGAATGGCTGTAGAAACAACATCCCTCCGTACAATTTCGAATTTTCAAACTCTTTTGATCCAATCGTTTGCGTACTATGTCCTGTCATCTGTGCTTCATAATTAAAATTAATCAAATAGAAAAACTAGGTACCAATATTCTATATTTAAGGTAAACAATATAGGTACTAAAACGTATTTAAAAAAAAATATTTATTCTAAAATTACAAATATCAATTGTGTTCTATTAATGTAATTGAAATAATTGCTATACTCGAAGAGCGTTTGTTTATCTATTTGATTAATTTTAATTATAAAACACAGATGACAGGACTTAGTGCGCAAACGATTGGATCAAAAGAGTTTGAAAATTCGAAATTGTACGGAGGGATGTCGTTTCTACAGCTCCTTCAATCTGATTTGGCGATAACTTGATGAGTATTGGTGCACAAACAATTGGTTGGGAAAGAATTAGAAAATTCGAATTGGGGGGGGGGGGGCTAGGGAAATGGACCCCGAGGAATATATTGATTTTAAAAGTATGTATTTTTCATTTCAGTTGATGAGCTAAAAAAAAAGTGGCGAGGATTACGAGACACTTTCGGGAAAGAACTTAAAAAAGTCAACAGCAAAAAATCTGGTCAAGCAGCTGTTTCAGAAACTGACTCCAGAAGGCCTTATTTTAAGAATCTGTTGTTTCTTCGAGGTACAATGTCTCGAAGGGATCTTAAAAGTAGCGTTCCCGATAACAGTGACATATCTGATGAGGAGTTATTGACACAAACAAGTACAAGTTCAAACTTTACGGCTTCGTCATCCAACTGTCAATCGCCGGAAGTAAATGCCGAACAAACTCCAAAGAAAACATTTAAATCTCCATTAAAAAAAAAATGAAAAGGAGTCAGACAGATGATATTGATACAAGACTATTGCAAATTGAAGAAGAGAAGTTAAAATGCTTTCAAAAAAGTGCAAATGATCCTGATGCTCAGTTTCTAATGAGCCTTCTACCATTTTTAAAAGATATTCCTAAACATCGTAAACTAATGGTACGAGCAAAATTACAGCAAGTTCTTATGGATGAACAACATTCCATAACATCAGTGGGAATATATGATAATTCTAGTGATTCGAGTCAATACAGTGTTTTTCAACAATTGCCAGAAGATGATCTTACTCACTACGTCACGCAATTCAACCCAAACAATAATAATTAGTTCATTTATATGCATATATTTTGCTTTTAATAATGATATCTTATCAATAAAAATCATATGATAATTATTAAAAAAAATTTAAGTGTTGAATTTTTTATGATTATAATTAAATATATTATTTCCTTACCTCAAAGTTACTATTAATCGTTCCTCAGGAGATATTGTGTCGCGAAAGTTACTGAATTTTGTCAGGTTAGGTCGTATAACTTTTAAAATATATTCAAAAGTTTCTTTCTTCATGCGTAAATAGCCGTGAAACAGTATGTGGTCATTATATAAGTCTTCCATAATATGATGAAATTCACCGAATTCATTTCTTTTTAAATATATTTCCCGTACCCATTCAGTTCTACGATAATGATGACGACGCAGCCGTCTCCGGATTAGAAGAGAATTATCTTGAAGGTACAGATTATTCATTATTGCGTTCTAAGGACGTCACGATTGCGATATCACCGGAACACTGACTATTTTACGAAAAAAAACGTATTCAATGTGCGCAATCAATTCGTACCAGTATTCGTACGTTTTCGTACGAAACAAATTCGTACACAATGTGCGCGCGGCCTTATAATAAAAAAAATACACAATTTTCTTAATCATTAGTGTTTCTTCTTTTTTTTGTACGTTTTTCCGAACGTTACAATGTTATTCCTATACCTAAAACAAATGTTATGTCACGGTCAACTAACAGAAAAAAAGGAACAGCTGTTATTTTAACATCTAGTCCATATAAGGCAGAATTAGAGGCTTCAAAAAGCCTAACACCACCCAAAAATGTTTATTTAATAATAAAAAAAAAATTCAACATGCAAACGCAAAAAAAAAAGAAGTTTCTATAAACACTCAAACTACTAATAACGAAGATAGTGATGCTGAATGTCCATATTGTGGAGGATCATTTTCTCAATCAAAATCGAATGAAGGCTGGGTAAGATGTATAAAATACATAAAATGGTGTCATGATGGTTGTGCTGGATGTGAAGATGTCAGTTTTATCTGTGATTTTTGTAAAACATTGTCAAAAGCTTATTAGTTTTTGTATGTTTTACAAAATTGTTCTAGTTTCCGAGAAAAAAGGTATGATTTGCTTATGTATTTTTAAAATTATATTATGTTATGTATATTTTATAAAATTGTTCTTGTTCCTATGAAAGTACAAAGTCTGATTAGTTTGTTAATTAATTTAAAAAATATAAATATAAAACAAGATTGGAATTAAATGACTTATTTATATAAGAAAAAAATGTTTAAGAATATAAGTTATATATGATTATATTATTAAATAATGAATAATAATAAAAGACATTTTAAGCTGGCGGTCAAAGTGGACATTAACTAACACTTTGTCCACCTAGGTGGTCAATTTTGTAAATTTTTAAAAAATTAAAAATTCTTTTTATCTATTTGCCTAAAGTTTTTTCTAATTACAAATTATAATTCCTGACATATTCTTGTACACAACCTTGACGCGGACCCGTGCGGCAGCCGTTACCGAAATGGCAGTCGCCGACCGTGTCCTTATCTCTCTCATCAACCACCACTCCGCGACACACGTCGCAGCGACACCCTGTCCTCCCATCCATCACCCGGACAGGGGACGCGAGCGGTCGCTACGACGTCCGACAGTTACCACCACGTCAGTGTTGCCAGGTGTACGATAATTATCGTATTTGTACGATTATTATTGCCATTGTACGATGTACGATACTTAATCAACTATCGTACAAGAAAATACGATAATTTAGTGTTTTTAAAGGTGTTTATGAAAATATAAAGAAACCCTATCAATTTAATTTTATTTTTAATCAAATTTACCATTTTTTTTTTTTTTTAACAAATTATTATAACCAAATGTTATCTTGTTACCACGGTTTTATACCACATACCACCGAAATGTTTTATCTAT